ATACTAATTCTTCCAATCCATGAGCACGATATATGCTTCCATTTATTAGTGTCTTCCTTAATTTCTTTCTTCAATGTTGTATAGTTTTCTGCGTTCAGGTCTTTTACCTCCTTGGTTAAATTTATTCCTAGGTACTTTATTTTTCTTCTTGCTATATCGAATGGTATTTTTTTTCTGATTTCTTCTTCTTCTATGTCATTGCTGGTGTACAAAAATGCCTTTGATTTCTGAATATTGACTTTGTATCCTGCTGTTTTGTCAAATTCACTTATTAGGTTGAGGGGTTTTTTGGTAGAGGCTACAGGGTTCTCTATGTACACTATCATGTCATCTGCAAACAATGATAGCTTTACTTCCTCCTTTCCTATTTGGATGCCTTTTATCTCTTTCTCTTGTCTTACCGCTGTGGCTAGGACTTCCAGTACGATGTTGAAAAGAAGCGGTAAAAGCGGACGTCCTTGTCATGTTCCCGATCTTAGTGGGAAAGCTTTCAGTCTTTGCCCGCTGAGTATGATGTTGGCTGTAGGTTTTTCATATATGGCCTTTATTACGTTGAGGAATGCCCCATTTATTCCCATTTTGCTGAGTGTTTTGATCATAAATGGGTGCTGTACCTTATCGAATGTTTTTCTGCATCTATCGAGATGATCATGTGGTTTTTGTCTCGTCTTTTATTTATGTGATGTATCACGTTTATTGACTTGCGTATATTGAACCATCCCTGCATGCCTGGGATGAATCCCACTTGTCGTGGTGGATAATCTTTTTAATGTATTGCTGGATGCAATTTGCCAATATTTTGTTGAGGATTTTAGCATCTATGTTCATCAGCGAAATTGGCCTGTAGTTTTCTTTCTTTGTAGGGTCTTTATCTGGTTTGGGGATCAGGGTGATGCTGGCCTCATAAAAGGAGTCTGGGTGTCTTCCCTCCTCTTGGATTTTTTGGAATAGTCTGAGAAGGACAGGGGTTAGCTCTTCCTTAAATGTTTTGTATGCTGGGAGTTTCTTGATGACTGCTTCAATTTCCCCAGCTGTTATCAGTCCGTTCAAGCTTTCTGTTTCTTCCTCCTTCAGTGTTGGAAGATTATACTTTTTCTAGAAATTTGTCCACTTCATCAAGGTTTTCAAATTTCTTGGCATATAATTGTTCATAGTAGTTTCTGACGATCCTTTGTATTTCTGTGGTATCAGTTGTTATTTCTCCTCTTTCGTTTCCGATATTATTAATTTGGGTCCTCTCCCCTTTTTTCTTGATGAGTCTGCTTAAAGGCTTGTCGATTTTATTTATCTTTTCAAAGCACCAGCTTCTGGATTGGTTGATCCTCTGAATTGTTTTTTTCGTCTCTATGTCATTCAGTTCTGCTCTCATCTTGACTATTTCCTTCCTTCTACTTGCTCTGGGATTTATTCGTTGTTGTTTCTCCAGCTCTTGAAGTTGTAGTGTTAGGTCTTTTATTTGAAATGTTTCTATCTTTTTTAGGTAAGCCTGTATTGCTATGAACTTCCGTGAGGACCGCCTGTGCTGTGTCCCATCGGTTTTGGACTGTTGTGTGTTCATTTTCATTTGTTTCCAGAAATTTTTTGATTTCTTCTCTTATCTCATTATTGACCCATTCATTGTTTAACAGTCTACTGTTCAGTCTCCATGAGTTTGCGAGTTTTTGAAGTTTCTCTTTGAGGTTGATTTCCAGTTTCAAGCCCTTGTGGTCCGAGAAAAAGCTTGGTATTATTCCAATTTTCCTGAATTTGCTGAGGTTTGCTTTGTGTCCTATCATGTGGTCTATCTTTGAAAAACTTCCATGAGCATTTGAAAAGAATGTGTATTTTGCTTCTTTGGGATGTAAGGTTCTATCTATGTCAGTTAAGTCTCTTTGATTCAGTGCGTCATTCAGCTCCACAATATCCTTGTTGATGTTTTGTTTGGAAGATCTGTCCATTTTTGACAGTGGCGTGTTGAAATCGCCTACTATCAGTGTGTTGCTGTCCATATCTTTTTTGAAGTCATCCAACAATTTCCTTAAAAACTTGGGGGCTCCTCTATTGGGAGCATATAAGTTTACAACGTTGATGTCTTCTTGATAGATTCTTCCTTTAAGTATTATAAAGTGCCCCTCTGGGTCTCTTTTTATGGCCTTTGTTTTGAAATCTACTTTGTCTGATACAAGTATGGCAACCCCGGCCTTTTTCTCTTGCCCATTTGCTTGGAATATTTTTTTCTATCCCTTTACTTTCCATCTGTGTAGGTGTCTTGCTCTGAGGTGGGTCTGTTGTAGGCAGCATATGTGTGGGTCATGTTTTCTTATCCATTCAGCTACCCTGTGTCTTTTGATTGGGGCATTTAGTCCATTCACATTGAGAGATATTACTGATAGAATCTTACTCATCTTTTCTCTTTGTACCTGTGCTCCTCTCTCTCTCATTCTTTTCCTTCATCTGCTTAAACCAGTCCCCTTAGCATATCTTGGAGTGCTGGTTTGGTAGAGATGTATTCTTTTAGCCTTCTCTTGTCTGGGAAACTCCGTATTTCCCCTTCTATTTTAATGGAGAGCCTTGCTGGGTAGAGCAGCCTTGGCTGTAGGCCCTTGCTTTTCATGACTTGGCATATTTGTTGCCATTCCCTTCTGGCTTGTAGTGTTTCTGTTGAGAAGTCAGCTCCTAGGCGTATGGGGGCCCCCCTTGTATGTTACTTTCTCCTTCTCCCTTGCTGCCTTGAGGATTCTCTCTTTGTCTTTGATAGTTGCCATTTTAGTGACGATGTGTCTTGGAGTGGACCTCCTTGAGTCCCTCTTGAGTGGGGTCCTCTGTGCCTCCTGGATCCATGAGAGCCTTTCTCTCCGCAAATTAGGGAAATTTTCCATCATTACTTTTTCGAGGAGGTTCTCTATCCCTTGCTCCTCTTCTTCTCCTTCTGGTATCCCTATTATACAGATATTATTGCGTTTCAGGTTGTGCTGCATTTCCCTAAATGCCTCTTCATTCTTTTTGAGTCTTTTTTCCATTTCTTGTTCTTTCTGGGAGCTTTTTTCTACCTTATCCTCCATCTCACTGATTCTGTCCTCTGCTTCATCCAGCCTGCTTTGGATTCCTTCTCCTGTGTTCTTCAATTCAGAAATGGTATTCTTCCTATCCTCTTGTGTCTTCTTGATAGTTTCTATGTCCTTTTCCAGGTTGATATAGTTTGTGGTAAGATCCTGATAGTTTCTCTGCAGTTTCTCATAGTTAATTTTGAGCTGGCTGAGCTTATTGAGCTTCCTTAGAACCATTGTCAGTTCTCTTCACAAACTTTTCTTCACCAATCTTTTCCCTGGCACCTGCCCACCCTGTTGCTGCCTCTACCCAGAGGTCAAGGAGGGTAGCTGCCACTGCAATTTTTGCGTTGACCCTTTAAATGTCTCTTTTCATCCCCAGCCACCTGTCTCTGGCAGAGAGCGCCCCTAAGCTTTTAGGGGTTGCGTTTTGTCTGTATTTTCTTGGTTTTGCTGTAGTTTAGGGGTCCCTGTTTATGATTCAGACCCCGTTCTTCTCAGGAGGGAGCTACCTGGCCGTTTCAATGTCCCTCTGGTGCTAGTGCCCGTGGGCACCCAGCCCACCCTCTCGAGCCTGCACCGCACTTCTCACCGGTTGGGATGTGTGAGAGTCGAATCCACTGTCTTTCCGCGGCTCCAAGGCCTCTCTCCCACTATAGTTCCATTGTTTTCCAGGTGATTGCTCTACTATTTAGTAGCAATTCCAGTTTGGTCTTGGGAGGAGGAGGTCAGCGTTACTACCATTCACTCCACTCTATCTTAATTTCCAGTTTTGTTTTTTTTTTAGGGAAAAGAGTTTTATAAACCTTTCATCAATAAATGGATAAGACTACCAGAAAGTCATTTAAAGTTGTTTTCTTTTTAGATAATAGAAATAGGCAAGAAATATAAAAAAACAGGATTAGTTTCAACAAATAGTAAAGGAACAATTGAAATAACATCATCACAATCATATTAATATTAAAAATATTGGTAATATCAAGTATTGGCAGCAACTCTGACAGGAACTGGGTATTCATAGAAACTTTTCTTTATAAAGCATTCCCTTTAGCATATTTTGCAGTGCTGGTTTGTTGAAGGTGTATTCTTTCAGCCTTCTTTTGTCTGGGAAACTCCTTACTTTGCCTTCCATTCTAATTGAGAGCCTTGCTGGGTAGAGCAGTCTTGGTTGCAGGCCTTTGCTTTTCATGACTTGGAATATTTCTTGCCATTCCCTTCTGGCTTGTAGTGTTTCTGTTGAGAAGTCAACTGGTAGTCATACTAGGCCTCCCTTGTATGTTACTGTCTCTTTCTCCAATGCTACCTTTAAGGTTCTCTGTTTTTCTTTGATATTTGCCAATTTAATGATGATGTGTCTTGGAGTGGGTCTCATTGGGTTCCTCTTGAATGGGACCGTCCGTGCTTCCTGGACTTGGGTGACTTTTTCTGTCCTCCATTTAGGGAAGTTTTCCGTCATTACTTTTTCAAAGAGGTTCTCTATCCCTTCCTCATCCTCTTCTCCTGGTATCCCTATTATACGGATATTTTTACATTTCAGGTTGTCCTGCATTTCCCTAAATGCCTCTTCCTTCTTTTTGAGTCTTGTTTTCATTTTCTTGCTCTTTCTGGTAGCTTTTTTCTACCTTGTCCCTCAGCTTGCTGATTCAGTCCTCAGCTTCATCTAGCCTGCTTTTGATTCCTTCTCCTGTGTTCTTCCATTTAGAAATTGTATTCTTCCTTTCCTCTTGTCTCTCATTGATAGTTTCTCTGTCCTTTTTCATGTTCATATAATTTGCAGTAAGTTCCTTATAGTTTCCCTGTAGTTTTTTGTAATTCTCTCTGAGCTCACTGAGCTCATTGAGTTTCCTAAGAACCGTTGTTTGGGACTCAAAATCTGATAGTTTCCTTGCCTCTATTTCGTTTAGTTCTCTTCGTGGGGATTCTTCCTTTCCCTTTGAGTTGGGCATATTTCTTTGTCTTCCCATTATTTGTGAGAAAAAGAAGGAATGTTTCACAAATTTGCGTGTCATCCTTGCTCAGGGGCCATGCTAATCTTCTCTGTACCATTTCAATTTTGTATATGTGGTGCCAAAGCAAGCACTATATATATGCTTTTTTAAATGATGAAAAACATTTTGGGAGAACAATCAGGTAGAGTGAATGGGATTTGGAGTTACAGGGTAGGCAGTACAGGGGCTTGCATTTTTTATATTAGGTGATCAGGGAGGGCTATGTTGATAAGAATACCTTTGAGCCAAAAATTGGAAGATGTGATTAAGTGAACCATATGGTTATCTGGGATAAGAGCATTCCACGGTGAGAATAGTAAATGCAAACACCCTGAGACAGGATAATGTTTCCCACGAAAAAGGAGCAGCAGAAGATTTTTTTAGGTGATTACAGGGTCCCCAGATCACGTTAGGCTTTATGGACCACACTTAGGAATTTGTCTTTGCTGGGGTGCAGTGGGAGCCTTGGCAGAGTTTGAGCACTGCAGTGCCATGATCTGAAGTTTTAGTTGAATCACCCTGGTTGCTGGGTAGAATAGGCTGTGGAGGGGCAGTGTTGGAAACAGAAATTGTTTAGAAGGGCATGGCAAAAATCCAGGAAGGATGATTGTTGGAGGTGGAAAGTCATGGTTACTTTCTGAATAGAATTTTGAAGATAGTCAAGAGATTTTTGGAAGAATTGCATGGGGGGAGGGGACTTTGGGAGGAAGAAGAGAGTCAGGAATATACCAGTACCAGTTGGAATATGCAGCTAGGAACGTAGAGTGTCATTAACTTGAGATGGAGAACAGTGGGAGCAAGTCCAGACTTTGATTCTGGATATTTTAAGGGTTTGTTGACTTCCAAGCACCCAAGTAGAGATATTGAGATAGCTAATACACTAGTCTCCAGTCCAGGGAGTTGTTCTGGAGGAGCTAATTTAGGAAAACAATATAGGTGGAGAAGAGGTTTATGAAGGAGAAAATGGCTCCCACAAGGAGAAGCAGTGTTCTTAGGAGAACCAAGGTTCATTAGGGCATGAATGTAAGGATATAGTCAGAAAAGTAGGTTGAGGATACAGAAGATTGATGAATTGTAAATCCAGCAGGTACAGTGGAAGGGTTGGGGTTTGAAATGGGAACAAAGCTGTATAGAGATAAAGCCTCGTTGATGAGGGGTGGTCTCTGATGATGATTATCATGGACACTATTATGGATGAAGACATGGTGGTATTTGTCTCCATGATCCCGAAGCCATATAGTGGTTGTGAGGCTGTGAAAATGTGGATGGTGAATGCACTGGGATAATGAGTCTTGCCAGGAGAACACAAAGTGCTGGTGGTCTTTCTTGATTCTGCCAGTGGTTATGTGGATGCCAGGGAAAACATTTGGCATTAGAAACAAGAAGAGATTCACTAAACAAAAGAAGGGGTAGCAGGTATGGGGAAGAGAGCTGTCAGAAACCAGAGACCCTCCATAAGACATGATTACCAGTTGGAGGCAGGGTAGAGTAGAAGAGGGAGGAGTTTGAGATGCCACCTTGATTTCTTTACTGGACCAAGTACATTGAAAGGACACAAGAGAAAACAAGCAGGTTTTAGACAGGTGTTTTCGGATACTGAGTTTCTCTGTAACTATCAAATGGCTGTGGTTAACAGGTGGTTGAAGAGATGATGGGTTTGGAAGTCATTGGCATATGGCCTACCATTAAATCTGTGAGGTATCTGAGTCCAGGGAAGGTAAATAGCATGGAAAAAGGGACTAAAACCAAACTCAAGAAAATAACATTTAATTGCAAATAGTGCCTAGGACTTAACCTTTAACCATTAGGCCTATCATTTACTAGCTGTGTGACATTAGGCAAGTTTCTCAATTTCCCTGATTCTTAGTTTCCTCTCTAATAAAATAAGGACACTTTACTTTTTGGAAATTGAATATATTGTCTGATGTATAAGGAGACATAGCTGCCAAACATAAAATAGACAGTGTGTTGTCATTTCAACTTTAAATGGTCATTAAAAAGTTAATACATTCAGATGGTATGATGAAATGCAAAAGGTATAAGTGAGTATACAATAAAAACTAGGGTTAGATTGGTTTTTTAACCATGTTTTTGGAGTGTCTTTTCCAGTATATTGAGCTTTTAATTAAAATGCACATTGAATTTTGTCAGATACAGTTTCAGCATTCACTCACACAGCAAATACATATTGTGTACCTATGTGCCAGTCAATGCTCTAGACACTAGAAATACACTAGTGAATTAAACAAAAGCCCTAATGATCAAACGATCTTTCTACTTATGTACCTGTGATAAATTCCTACTATCCCTTTGAATTCTGGCGTTAGAACATTTAAACAGACTGTTTTTTGTATAAAAAATGGTCAATAGAAAAAAATTCCAAAGTACTGTCTCTCAGAAAACCACCACACCCAGAATATTTTATTGAATTCTACTAAACTCCCGAAGACCAGATGAACCAATGATAATTAAATTGATTCAAGACAGAAAAAGAAGAAAAGTTCCAAAAACATTTTTTAAGATATTTAAGTAGAAGTCTCTGTTAAATAGATTCAGTTATATCTGCCAGTTCTTTGATTTTTTTTTTCCCCTCATTACTTGGTGGAATGAAATTCTCTATTACTTTCTTCCGGAGGGGCTTATAGGACTAATATTTTCCATTTTCACCTGCTTAAAACTGTTTCCCAGATATCCTATACTTAAACAGTAGTTTGGCTGAAAAAAAATTTGGTTTCTGTATTCTTTCCTTGAATACTTTGCAGGTATTCTTTTCTCTGACTCCTAGAGCTAGATAATGCTGTATAGAAGTCTGAGGTCACCCTTATTTTTTTTTTTTTTTAAACCACTTAGAAGGAACTTATTATTTTTGCCTGGTGGCTTAAGATTCTTTATCATTGAATTTCAGCAGCTTTACTAGAATGTGTATTGTAGTGACCAATATCTAACATTTTGTAACATGGTGTGCCTTTTTAATGTGCAGCATATATTTATACTATATTTATAAAACTATATTTATAAAAAGTTTGCTTGAATTGTATTTTTATAAGTTTATTTTGTTTGGGGGACATCCTATTATGTATTTGTTGGCTCTTTTTCCATGACTTGCTTATCTAATCCCTTTGAAACTGTTTTTTCCCCTTCCTGCGTACTTTTCCTCACAATTTTCTCTTGCCCCTACCTACTGTTTAGCATTGTTTCTCAAGTTCTGCTTTTTTTGTTTATTTTTTTGATAAATTATTTTTTTTTATTGTTCAAATACAGTTGTCTCCATTTTCCTGCTACCACTTTCCCGTGCCCCACCCACCTCCACCTCCCACCCCCCACCCTCAGTCCTTCCCAACTTTGGCTTTGTCCATGGGTCCTTTATACATGTTCCTTGACTTGACCCATGCTCTTCTTTTCCCTGATTCACCCCTCCTGACTCCCAACTAGTTACTGTCAGTTTGTTTTTTCCTTCAATGTTGCTGGTTATATTTTTCTTGCTTGTTTGCTTTGTTGATTAGGTTCTACTTATAGGTGAGATCATATGGTATTTGTCTTTCACCCCCTGGCTTACTTTGCTTAACATAATGCTCTCCAGTTCCATCCATGCTGTTGTGAAAGGTAGTGGCTCGCTCTTTCTTTCCAAGATCGAAGGTGTGCCTTTTATGTGAGCTGAGTATACCCTCCTCTTGTAGTTGAGCCTTGATTGCTCTTGGCAGATCAATGGGAGATATTTACCCCAGCCAGTCAGCTCTAGGTTGGGCTATGTCCGCTTAGCATCAACCTCTGTCCTCTGGGGGCATAATCTGTGCGGGGGGCGGGGGGGGGCAGGGTGGTGGTGCTCCTGTGTGGTCTGTAGCTATTCACTGGGTGGCACTGGCCAAGGTCAGCCCCCACCTGTGTTTTGCCTGGGGCCACCCTCCCTGAGCTGTAAATGGCTGTTTACTTCTTTTGGGCTTGGACATTCCTAGGTGAAGCGAAGCAATGAATCTAGGCTGGCTGCTGCTAGTGCAGGTCCTGGGGCTCACTGAAGCCAGCTGTTGCTTGTTTGATAGTACTTACGAAGTTGCAAAGCATGAGCCAACACCAGCTGTTCATATGGAAAAGCAGCTTGGGTGGACCCTTAAGTTGGGTGGGGAAGAGTCTCTGGGGATCTCCAAGGTGGGTCAAATGGTATTACCCGGGTTAATGGAGTTTGAGATATGGCACCAGCTTGCTGTCTCTCTACTGTACTTCTAAACCCTTCCTATACTGTACTTTGTATCCCCAATGGCTATTCTGTAACCACCTATTTGTACTTCTTAATCTACTCACTTCTTCACTCATTCCCCCACACACCCCTCCCATCTGACAACCATCAGGGTTTAGAAAAGGGATAATGGCCTCTGCTCACCTTGATGGCAGGCACCTCAGTTCCACCCTGTATGTCACTTATGCCTTTCAAGGCACAACTCTGGTTCTGGAGCTCAGAGGGAGTGAGTCTGAGTAGGTGAGCCTGTGTGTGGGTTCTTTAAGAGGAACTACTTGGGGTTCCAGCAGTTTCTTCTACTGATTAAATCCCCACTGGTTTTTGTAGCCAGAAGTTGTATCTGCTTATCTTCCTGGCATTGGAAACCTGGGCTGGGGGGCCTGGTATGGAGCTGGGAGGCCTGGTATGGGGCTGGGATGCCCCATTCCTGAGATTTCCCTCCAGAATGTTTATCCACCACACATGGGTGGGAGACCAGCCCCTTCCATGTCTGCACCCCTCCTACCTGTCTGGTTGGATGTGGTTTCTTTAATTCTGTGGTTGTCAGACTTCATTCAGCCTGATTTCTTTCTGACTTTCCTGAGTGATGATATGTCCTGCACGTATTTAAGGTCAGGCAGGTTCACACAGGATTTGGGCAGACAGGAGAAAATTCACAGAGCTGGAATGTCTGATATGACTTTACTCTGGCGTGGCATGATCCATGCACGCCACAAGTCATGCCGCGGAAAGTCCCAACTCCCTCATACTAAGTGCACCCATAGCCAGCAGGGTGCCAACACTGACCTTCTGTTTATATAACAGAGCTTCATTCTGCACATCTGGGCCCTTTATTCAAGGTTATATGAACACTACTGCATT